ATCTTGATTTTAATTTCGACAAAAAGACTGACATAATCGGAAAAATTGATTAATATAATTAAATAATTATATACATGTACATTATATAATTATCTTTATTAACTATTATATAATTATAATGAAGAATTCAATCAATTTTCTAATGACAATTTACATTTCATGAAAGCATTTTTGAACTACCTATGTGCACCTTGCACAACACAAGCAACAATCTGTTGCGTTTTTTAAGATTACAATATTTTGTTTATAAGACGACGAATGATATTTTTAAACAAGCGTTTAAAGACCAAGTTTAATCTGAGATAATTACTTTTTCGAGTGTCACATAAGGATATCTCTTTATTTGTATTTTGTATACGACATTCAAATAGAGGAAGTAATTATGAATATACGCAATATACGTAACTCGGATGCTTCTCATTCGAGATACAAAGATAAATCTCATTAAGTTACGTACACGAATGTAAATTATTTTGTATAACGACACAATATAAATGTTGTGTGATATAAAGTGTGACATAGAATGAGTTTTCCTTATTGTTATTTCCCTTTTACATTTATAATTACATTTATTAGCATGTATTCAAGGATATACTAAGCAAAATAAATTTAACACGGCATAGAAACATTATTTTTTAAGGAGTGCATGCCTATAATGCCGCGTATATTGTACATAATAAGATTTTCTTTATAAATTTCAGAATACACAAAAGTCGCTGAACAGCATTATAAATCGATGCAATGAGTAGTTCGTGATTCTTCTTTTATGCAATTTGAAATTCCTTGAAAGAAAGTGCTCCAATTTTCTAAATTCTAGTAACACCGAGTGTGCATTGACATGTGCATTTTATAAATAGACTGCGGATATTTATGCAAAATACTTAACTGAATATTAACGATCAGACAGTTTTAGTCGATCGTTGTTCGTTAAAGAGTTATTACTTTATGCAAAATTTGCATTTTATGCAAAATATTCAGTTAAGTATTTTACATAAAATATTTTACATATTAAATATCGCAGTCTATTTATAAATATGTTTGAAAAATATAAAAAACTTAGTATTTATTATTAGATTGTTCGAAAAGTTCATAGAGACTTTTAAAAGATGGCAATGGTGAATTTTTCATTTTGAGTTTACATGTCCCATTTAATTATTATCCCGGATTAATGCTTAGCATTTCTGTCTTTCTCCTTCTCTCTTTTTCCTCTCCTCTCCCTCATCTATTTCTTTTCGCTCTCATTTCTAGATTCAGTAATTATTTTTTTGTTGACAGTTTATTTCTGGAAATGGTATTATACAAGGTATATGTTGTTTAAATTGCGGAGAAAAACTTTTTATTGCCGCTCGTATAAATATGTCAAGTTATATCAAATTTACAATGAGTTTTACATATTTTTTGGAAGATGATGCTTCAACGTAAATGTTATAATAAAATTTGTGCGAAGTATCGCTTATTCTATGCGATTTTTTGAGTGAAGTATCAAAAAAAATTTATGCTATTTACGGAAATAGTGCGAAAGTAAGCAAAATGTAACAGAACGTCGGCAAATTCAACCAGAAACAGCAGATCAATATCAACTTTTACTTCTGTTTTTTCGATAGAAATCGATTATATAATGATAGCAGGTTGTCAGCAGAAACCGAGCAATGTTTGCTCGCGTGCTTGCTTTGCTTGCGTGTGAGATAATCTAACGGCAGAAACCAAGCAAAGTGCAAATCCTATTCGATATCTGTCGTCAATCTGCTGACATATTTCTAACAACAGTTTGTAGACATTATCAGATATTACAGACTCTGTGAAACTTGTCTTTTTTTCAGAAATTGGTAGCATACTTTGCTTAAAATCTTCTACAGACTTGGCTATTTAGAATCGTATAAAAATAACTTGCTTAATATATACATAGAGATTTTGAGTTAAAGACCGGAATTGTTCAAAGAGACAGCTGTTGATAATGAAATAAAGTTTCTTAATGTAAGACATAGCGTATAAATAACAAATTTCTTCTAACAAATAAGCATGCCGCTAGTATCTTATATATCCTTTTATTTCAAAAGACTATTGGAGTTATTATAATATAGAATTTTCTATAGAAGAATTAATTTTTTATCATAACTCATGTCTCTTCATTTTTAAAAACGAATATATGTTATAAATATACATTATTCCTAATTCTCATGTAAGACTGCATTCCGTTTCACATATGATGCATCATTTGTTCTTGTTTAACATTCGGTGAATAACAAGGTTAAATAATGCATCATACGCATCATGCGTAAAACGGAACGCAATCTAAATTTTTTGCTTAGAGGAAGTGCTAAGAGGAATTCCCCGCTTATCGGCAGAATATTTTTGTATTCTGCCAAAACTAGACAGAAATGAATACGATGTATTCATTTCTAGTTTATTATAAGAATATGAAAAATTGATTTACTAACTGATATAATTAATACATCGAACTGTCTAATTTATTAAATTGTTGAAATGCGTCATAAGCAGGTGTTTTTTTTTTTGTAGAGCAAGCATGTTGAAATTATGTCAATCTGTAAATTAATTTTTCATATTATTACTTTGATAAAGTAGACAGAAATGAATATTTATAATGATAATGAGTATTATAACGAATTTTTTCTACATTAACGACACTACTATGTTAATAATATATTAACAGATAATACATTGATATGACTCGAGCGCACCAAATTTTTTCTTTATTATTCGAAGAACATAAAAGTCAACAAAAAATTAAAATGATATCAAATGATTTTATTTTGATGTTAAAATCAATAAGCAGTTAAACTTTGTAAAAACCATCATTTTGACATCGAAGTACGCTATTTTGACTTTCTCTTGACTTATTTAGTGTGTTCCTTGAGTATAATTCAATTGATTACTTTAATTACTTTTAGTTCATCTTATATGTCTAAGAGTTAATCTATTAAGTCTTTTACAAATAATTTTTTTGAAGTCTTCTTGCATTCATTTTATATCCATATTTTATATCCATATTTTAACAATTAATTTTTGAATACTTATTCAAATTATTTATTAAGAAAATAAACATTGTTTATTTTAAGAAGACTATAATATTCGATATTTATTTGTATATTTAACGTATATTTATTTTTCTTTTAAAAAGAATTTTTTATAAAAAGAGATTATAATTAATTGCTTAAAATTTACAATCAAATAAAATCACATGTTTAATTCATTATATTATTAAACGACTATTATTAACGACTAAACTCAATGATAATTCGATTATAAATGCATTGCTTGTCATTTGTATGTATTATATTAAAAGTATTATCAAAGACATAAAATATGGACTTGCGCTATTCGTATCTAAGGCTGCATTCCACATAACGCTCGCAACGCTCGCGAGCACCATTTGTTTTTATTTAACATTTGATAAACAACAAGGATGGAATGATTCCACAAGCGTTATGAACGTTAAATAGAACATAGCCTAAATAATATATAAAATGTGATCAAAAATGAGAGAAAGAAAGCATAAAGAGATAAAGACTGGCTGTCTTCGCATTCTACTTCTTCTTTCATTTTTGTCAATCAATTTTATACACATAGAATGGCATAGAGTCCATGCTCTATGTTTTTGAATATTCGCATTTAATTAAATATTTATTTATATTTTTAATTAATTTCACTTTATCACGCATTTTATATTGCTTTATATTAACATCTTCTCTTTTATCTTATCGTCGGCATATGGCTTATATTTGCTTTAGGATCATTATGATAATTTATTATCCGATGCATGTATACTGACTAGGAATTATATTCTTATTTTTTCATCACGTGAGATAAACATTTTGGAAAAACAACATCTTTCTTTATGATAGTAATCTAGTATTAATCACGATTGATCTATTGTTTTGGAATTTATCTCTTACAGAATAATTTTTATATATTATAAAATATATTTACATTTTTTGTAGTTTTATTAATGAGAAATATGGGAAATTTAAAAAGAAAATATATCTGATTATTCATAATGCTTTTTTTTTGTTTTATGAGTGTGGAGTTTACCTTTCAATAAACTTCAGCTGACTGTCTTAGGGTCGGTTGTTCCATCTTTTGATACAAATTTTACTTGTGAGATAAATCTGATAATCCGCGCATGTAGTTGGATAATCTTGCTATTTATCCAATAGATAAAATTTACCAAAAGATGGCCCTTACTTTCTTATTCTCTCATGTTTTCACTTTTTTGTTTATCTAGGTAAATTACTATATAGTTTATTAAAGATGGAACAACTGACTTTAAAAGAATGAGAGAATAAAGTCTAATTAATATATATTGAAAAAATGAAGTAATGATGAAGAATACTTACGATACTTATTATTAAAGCACCTCCATGTAATATGGCTAACGTTCACCAGCATTAGTAGTAAATATCATGTATGCACATAACATACATAATAATTATTCATATTGAATGTAGGTCAATATTTAGCGAATGTATAGAAACTTGGCATATACATTGGCCATATTTATCGTTTTTGTAGACAGTTATTAAACTGATCTGGAATGCATTTTTCATTGCCAATTTTAAATTCTTTCGCCGCTGCGCCGTGGAGAAAAACGATTTCAATCAATCAATGAATTTGTAGCGAAAAGTAGGCGATCTTTCTTACCTTTAATAATACCTAAGCTTCATAAAGCCTATACCTCTTTATAATATCACTATGTTAAATATGTCAGTAGTAGCACGAAATTTCATTAATTACAACTTGAATAAATTTACATGAATTTACATGAAATTAAACCGATGCGCAAATCGCATATGTGGGATCGCGCATTTTGAACTTCTATTATAACGCTTGATTTATTTGGATTGATTTATGTAAATGGTTAATGAACATGTGGCGTTGATCGTCAACAACGCAGGTGGTCAATGAGTACCAATGAATTTATCGGTCAGGTTCCTCTAGGTATAATGATGATTCTTGGTAAGAGTCATTCAGTGGAGATCGAGCAGTCGTGACGATCACACAACACGCAGGACCACGCACAACTTTCTTGGCGCTGTCTCTGTGATTGCTAAGTCAGGATTTTATAACGACGATAATTCGCGGTAGTAACTACGACCATGGTTAGGACATTCTTATTCATTTTGGCGATCTTGATCTGTGGTCAGACGACTTTCGGATATCCCAGTGTCACGTCATCGTCGTTACAACAGCACATGCAAAACTTCTGGCAACATGAATCGTATTGGCAAATACGACGAAAACTATTGTTGAATGAAAAGCAAGAGTCCTTAGGCGGTGATCTGGAACTTAGTCCCATCGAAGCCAAGGCCAATGATGTTCTAATGAAGGCAAAAAAACGAGAAATCTACGACGGTTCGATCCTTTCACTTACAATCATTAGTTCGCGAACGAGATCAGTTCGCGACTGACCACCGCGTTTATCCGCGTTTGTCCACGATTAAATAAATATTCAAAGAAAAGATTAATATTTAAAAATTATTTTAGATTCTTTTTTTCAAATGAAATCCGTCATTTTGAAATAAATTTTGCAACATGAAAATTCAAAAGAATTTTCATTTAATGTATATATGTATAACATCATCTTCATTGTATTAAATCTTTCAACGAATCCTCGCTTATATATCTAAAATTTTTCTTTTTAAGAAATTTAATGTTAGCATACTTATATTATCTGACTCCAATAAACTGATCCTTTAAATTTACGTTGAGAAACATGTTTTCCCGAGCGAGTTGTCATATTATAAATTAATAATTTGTCAATTGCATCAATGATTGTGCACAACTACTATTACTATATGAACTAAATGTGAGAATATCCGTTTTTACATTAGACATGACAAATAATTTGTCAAATGTGATGCTCAATGACATAATGTTTACCAAAAAAGAATATTTTATATATTGAACATTTTTTAACAAAAACACAGTCAATAGAATATAACAGTAAACCATTACACTCTTGTTGTTCACTAATATTAGACAAGGATAAAATGAATCTCTGTGTGTAGTATTAATTATGTCTTTTATTAGAAAATCCATTAAAAAGAAAATCAATACTAAAACTTGGCTTATAGAAGCGTGATGAAAAAATGAATATTAACGAGGAATTCAAAGTTTGATCTTGTATAATTCTAATATTTTTCTTGTTTGATTTACAATACTGGAATTCTCATATTTCTACAGGTTTTATAACCGGTAATACCTTTTTGCCGTCGTTTAACTTTATGGAAGTGATATCGAAGATTGAGAAGTCTGAGGTGTTTAAGATTCTGCACGATATGCCTAAAGGTGCTGTTCTCCACGCTCACGAATCTGCCATGGCCTCGTTCGACTACCGGTTTAACAATTTGACTTATCGCAAGAACCTATACGTGTGCAATAAGAATGGCTCTGTGAATCTCCAATTTCTTAAGGAACCTAACAATGATTGCCACTGGGAATTATTGAGCAATGTACGGAAAAATCCGGCCCGGGCCAAAAATATTAATGAAAAGATCAAGCGATCCATGACCATGATTACGAAAAATCCGAAAATCAAATACGATACCGTCAACAAGGCATGGGAGAAATTCAATAGTATCTTTGGCTCATTAGGTTACTTATCACATCGACCGGCATATGAGGATCTCTTTTATCGTAATCTGCAGGAACTTTATGAGGACAACGTGATGTACGCGGAAATTCGAACGACATTATCAACATTGTATGATACCTATGATGGCAAGTCATACGAAGCGTTGGAAAAAGCACAACTCCAGAAAGATGTTGTTGATAGGTAAGATACTTCCTTTTTTAAATTATTTCTCTAATTTCAGATAAGCATAATGAGTAAGTGACATAAATGTAGCAATTAAACATGACATCACAACATTTCCTATTTTGAAACTAACAACTTCTTGAGAAGTTTCTTGGAAGAAGTTTTATTCCGTCTTATTAGTTATTCTAATATTCGGCGGCTGCGCCGAGAAATAATACGATGGAATAACATAATAATGGATGTGACAGGTTTATGAAGGATCATCCCGATTTCATCGGCGTTAAAATTATATACGCCCCAAATCGTGCTGTTGATCAGAATAAATTCGACTACTACCTGAAAACATTGACGAAGTTAAAGCAACACTTACCAGACTTTTTAGCTGGCTTCGACTTGGTCGGCCAGGAAGATAAAGGGAAACCCCTCACCGAATTTGCAGACAAATTGAAAAGCGTTGATCCGAGCATTCCATTCTTCTTCCACGCCGGCGAGACCAACTGGAACGGGGAATCTACCGATTTGAATCTCTTCGACGCTATCTTGCTCAACACCAAACGCATTGGCCATGGGTAAATAAAGCAAATACTTAAAAAAGTAAAAAAAAGTAAAAATTAAAAGATCCGAACTAAAACACTAATAAAGATAAATTTAAGAAGTCAAATACAGAAAGTAATTTACTCATTTAGAATTATTTTGAAATATTTTTTACTTTCACACCTTATCTATAGGTGTGCGTGCGTGCGTGCGCGCGCGCGCGCGCGCGCGTGTGTGTGTGTGTGTGTGTATATATATATAT